CAAACAAAAATTTAAAAATTCTTCTCAAAAATTATATTGAGATACAAACCAAATAAACCCAAGATCTTTCAACTGGAATTAAATCATGCATTATTTTTATATTATTTTTTTAGAAAAAAATAACAAAATAAGTTACTTTTTTCAAATTTTTATTTTTATTGACATTTTTCTTAAATTATGTCAAAAATTTATATTTTTTTCTGTTTGATGTAGATGGATTCAAAAACAATTTTAAAAAAATTAAATTAAAAAAAAAACTCAAAAAAAGTCTACCTTTTTTTGTTTATAGTTATTTTTCCTGATTTTTTTTTAAAAAAATTTAAAAACATGAAAGTAGAATTTTCTGAAAAATATTTTTGAAAAAATAAAACCAAGCATGCTTATTAATTTTCATTTCATTTCATCAAGTAGAATCTAAAGTAGTAAAGTCATTCAAATTTCATTTATTTATTTTTCTCAAATGAGTTTTAATACCTTTATTTTCTTATAATATACAAGTTTATTGAACTAGGTTGAAGCCGAATTCATGAACTAAAAAGTTTTAAGATGTGTTTAAATTTAATTTATTGATGTAAACAGTCAATCTTTGATGAATTTTAACAAATCAAACACAAATTAAGCTTACTTGGCTCATTTTGCAATGAAAAATGCTATGAACCAAGACTTATCCACCCATAATTTGTCAATAATATGTTTGTGTGGTGGAAATTAAATTAATAAAATATAAAATAATTCAATCATTGATTATTTTTTTCAAGTAAATTCTGAGTTTGTAATCTTATTATTTTGCAATCCTATCTTTAATGATAGGTTCTATCATCTAATGTGCATGATTAAGTTTTAAATTCTACGACAATACAAAAAACTTAAAACAGCGCATTTACGAACCATAATCATTAAGTGTGTCTCACATTCCATAAGTTTTAAATTCATACTACCCACCTCATTTTCGAGTAAAATTCAAATTACAATTTCGTAGTAGATAGTACTACTTTCCGAATTTCTATGATTGGTTATATGTCGTATTAGTCAACATGTTAGCTTAAAAATATCAAAATTATCAGTTTAAAAAAGTCAAATATTGCATCAATTTTTTACAATTTTTATTTTTAATAGTAATTTGCCAAACAAATAAGCTTTAACTTTAAAATTTTAAAAAAAAGGCAAAAAATAAGTATAATAAAAATTTTCTATTTTTTCAAACTTTATTAACATATATATTCTAAGAATACGTGTTACATCGAGATATATATTTACAAAAATTATTGACACCTCGAATTGAACTGTTTCGAATGGCTTAAATTTGTGTTTACCGGACAACCACCTAGACGACCGGTACACTTGTTTATCGCGATTGTCACCTTATCAACCGCAACTATCAACTTTTTTACCAAATGATCGACAAAATAAAATTCAAACCATTGGGAACAAGTTTAAATTCGAAATACTAACTCTGCCTATATATTTATTTGTGATCAGGCAACAATAACCAGTAATGGTGTCATAAAAAAAGAGCGTGTCTAATCAAAAGTGGTAGGTGGGGGTTGGGGGTGCCATCAATTGGCAGGGCTTGGACCACTTGCCCACCCAAAGCATGAATAAGGTCACAAAACCATGCCCCTCTAGTCCCCCACCCCTACATATATGCAAGTTTTCCCACAAATACACTTCAAAAAAGTGTCATGGCTTGGGCTTGGTCTTGGTCCCCCTGGCCTTTTTCAAAACAAAATCTGAAAATAACAATAATTTTAATTACTTAAATTCTCATTGGCCACAAATAAAACAAATCTCCACACTACACACTACCTTCCAAAGGGCTTTTAGGTTTATCCCATGCTCCAGTTACATTTTACCCAAGGGCCTTTTAAGTTGGGCCCACCTGATAGTGTCATTTGAGGTAGGGACCATAAAGTTACCCATTCATTATATACATTAAAAACAAAAATAAATTAAAAACACTTTAAAGGCTATTGGAGGTTCTATTTACATCCCACAACACATCATTAAAAAAATTAACATGAACTTCTAAACAAAAATAAATTATTTAGATATCAATTTCAAATAAAAATAAATTATTCAGACATCAAACCTCTCAGAAGTTAATATCTGAACAACTATTTTCTTAAAAAATTGATATCTAAATATTTAATTTTTGTTTAAAAATCAATATCCAAATAGCTCAAACAGTATGAACTGAGAAAATAGAAGTTCCCTAAGGCTAGAACTCCCATATTGACCTAAAAAGTACACCAAATATAATTATAATTAAATAAAAAAAAAATCACTAAAGACAGATTTTAGTTTTCTTCTTTCTTTCATATTTTTTTAGGAAGAAAATGGAGAAATAAAAAATTAACTGCAATTAATCTTTCTCATGGTCCTTGCTATGCATGTTCTCATGAATTCTATAATTCTTTAAGAGTTATTATTTTTTTCTCCACATGTTCATAAAATAATCTCATATAATGTCATTGCCAACCTGCAATATGGTCCATATAACTTTGTAATAAAATGGCTAATATTAGATTAAACTAAGAGGCTCCAATATGAAAAGCCATAGAAAAATAACTAAAGTATTCAAATGGATGGTTCAATCAAACATAACGCATGTGATATGATTGGTAGATGTCTAAAAACTAATTTGAATGATTAAAGAAATTCAATGGACAACAAGACAATCACTTGTGTGCATATAATAATCCACACAACCTACCTTTAAATATGTACAATAGAAAATGAATTCCTAATTTCCTATCAAAAGAAATTTAGAAACCAAAATTTTAACACAATCATACTGTTGCAAGTGATAGCAATAAGATACCAAAATTTTGACACAATCATACAGTTGCAAGTGATAGCAATAAGATACCAAAATTTTAACACAATCATACGGTTGCAAGTGATAGCAATAAGATTTTTTTGACTTTTGTTGTAGAATAAACCCCACAAAAGCTTGCCGGGGGATCCCCCAAATTATAGCAAGAAAAATCAATCCATAACAAGAAAACATGACATATAGATTACATAATTCGACAAGATTGCCTATATTCACATCTTACACCAGTTCTAACTCTATTGAAAAAAGATAAGAGTACAATATGTCTACTTGTGTTTTGGGATCAATATGTCTACTCAGACGATAGAAAGAACAGTATCATTTTGGGATCAAACTAAACTAAGAATGTTGTTTGTGTTTCTTTGTTTTCTCGAACAAAAAATGAAAGAAACAAACGGTTTTAGTTTAAGCTAGAGGTAGGGTTGAGTTTTAGGTTGTACCGTTGAATTGTTGTATTGTATCTCCTTGGCATTTGAGCACAAAACAGATCGAAACACCACCAAAATCATGGTAAAAGAGAGACTAAGAGAGAGACACTAAACTGACCTCAGTTTGAAGAACTCAATCACAAGTATTCAAACACAGTCCTTCCTTTCAACAATAAGCTTAACATGCACTTTTTACAATCTTTATAAGCTCAACAATCAAACAAGGGTTCCACAAATTAATGTTTAATATGAAATTTTCATTCACTTCCTAACTAAAGATTATGACAAGGCTTAGGTGTCCAAACTCTTGCAAGTTCACAGAGAATCTCCATCCAACAGTTATTGGAGAATTTCAAAACCACAAGACTCAAATTTAATAACTTAATCTGAGAAACAGCCTAACGACTAAATAATCATAGGTAGAACGTAGCCACCTTGTGCAAGTGTTAATTAATTCAAAGATGTAGTGACCGCTAACAATAAGTATCAAGCACCTCTCCAACGACCACCACAAACCAACATTCCTAGAGTATCAAATCTCTCGGGTACAAGAATTGACAATCAAGCTTGAATTTCAAATTTACAATAGCCTAGTCATGGTTTCTAAGGTAATGCAAACAACAATTGGGTTTATTTTGCCGCCTCATGTTCCATCTTCATGTAGATAGCACACAACTATTGTGTTTGGGTTTGGGCGTGTAAAATTTTGCTGCCTCATGTTCCATCTTCATGTAGATGGCACACTTTGGTTCAACTAGAGGAACCATAATGCTAAGAGGAAGCCTAACCTAAACGTGGGCTAAAGCTCCTAGAGAAGCTCCTGGAGAGAACGTGTCCTATATTTAAAAACACTGTTACTTTTATTTTGGTTCTTACAGGGCTTTGTTATGCTGACTTTGATTTGCTGATCATATTCTCAAATCTACACTAGATAAGATAAGTTGCGGAGAATGTTAAAAGCCAAATTAAGGTACACTCCACCTTGGATGTGCTTTTTCCTAGTCCCTTCACCTTTCATGGCCTTACAACATTTTTTTCTCACATAGTTGTCTCACCGCAAATTAAAAAACTGTCAATTCTACAACTTAGACTAACAGAGATGCTTGTATTTACATTAGTTTACAAGAAGGAATTTCATTTTTCTATGGTGAGAAGACTTTGGTTCTAACCTAGAAAATAATTTCTTGTTTAACAAACATGTCCAAAAAGAAACTACCTTAGCACAATGTCACAACATTGGTTAATTCCAAGTGTCCTGTGTGGCACTTAGACACTCACAAGCTAGGTAAGTGATGCTAAGTCTAGCACACTCAAGAAAAAATACAAGCGAGTTTGAGAGAATACTTGTATTGCTCTAGAGAACTTTACACTCAAGTTAGATGTGTGACAAATGAGCCCTCACTCTTTTTATAGGCACCCTTTGCCTTCTAGGAACAATCTAGAATACATTATTAAATGAGGTGTGTACAGGTTTCATGGATCCTTCTAAAACCTTACAAGAACTCTCTAGAATCTATTCTAGAATATTCTATACACTTTCTTGAATTATGTACAATGTTCTCATATCTCTTCGAGGAAGTTCTAGATTTTTCAATTAGCCTCCCTTCCTTTAGACCTACTCTAGGATAGACTTTGTTTAGGCAAACTTGGCGGGATGTGACAAGAAGCAAGAGTTAAATTTCACATATCAAACTCGCAACGTATTAAGATGATACAATCACATCACACACAAGATATAAGAAAAAAAATTGCAGAGTTTTTGCTCTGTGGCATCCTCATTTCATTTCAAGCATATGGAAAATTATCACTCTTTAAAGATTTGAAAATAACATAGCAGCAATATGTTATTTCCAAGAATCTGTTATTTCAAATCTTATAGCATATGTCAAAGCATCAAAATAACATAGCAGCAGTATGTCCAAAAGATTTGAAACTAACAAACATAGCACTTCATTTTTTTTTCTTTTCAAAACTAATATTTCTAGATTCTAGACTAGATAGACAATAAGTAGAGAAGACTACCAAGCAAGAAAATTTACAAGCACAAAAGAGGGTCACCACCAGAGTTTAAGATTTATTTAACTTACTTCCAAAGAGCATAGTAAGTAAGCTCTAATCGAAAGTTTGCAATACTAAGTACCAATCTTCTTGCTTATCGAAATTGCAGCTCCTCAGCACCTCCAAGCTGAAGCCACCATGAGCTCCCGAAGCTGCCAATACAGTACGAGCGATCCCTGGCGCTTCTCGACATGAAATCCCCCAACTTGGCTTCTCTTCAACACACATTCAGCCTGAGTTTCAGTGAAATTACTCAACGCAACAGGTGAGAACCCCGCAGATGCAAAAAGCTGTTTCCAATGGGGCATATGGTCGGGGGCGCGGAGGCGGCCCAAGACAATGCTTTCAATTCTGGGCTGGAATAGGAAACTCTCAATCTTGTTCATGGTTTCAGAAGCTAAATTAGCTGCATCAATGGAGTCAAAGAGAACTTCATAGTATTGAAGGGCATGAAAGAGGTGCTGTGCGAAGGGAAGGTCTGTTCTTTCACACCCACGATCCATCGACACCATTATCTTTGGGGAAAGCTGTTTTATGAATCGAAGGAGGGAAGGAAGCACGGGAAGGCGATTCGAACAAGCCCAGATAGGAAAACTCACGGCAATTGCCTCGTCCGGTGATCGGACAGGAGGGATTGAATAAGAGTTTGGGTCAAAAGCATCGAAATTCACCACTTCAAGCTCAAAATTGACACCAATTTCGTTGGCGAATTGGGTTAAATTTTCGTGCATTAGGCTGAGCTCGAGAGGATGGTGGGTTAAAGGAGAGGCAAAGGCAGTGATTTTCAAAAATGGGGTTTTGCATCTGTTCCTGCTTGGAAGCTCTTGCATCAAAGAAGCCCATTGAGCACCAAACCCAATATCGAAATCGATGATATGAACACGTCCGCCATAGCCAAGAGCTTCGAGGATTGCTTGGTTAGAAGTGAAATTCATGAAATGGGTAACAGGGGAGGCTTCAGAGAGCAATTTATACGCACCCATTTTGAACAAAGCATCAAAGGGCGTAGGAGTTCTAGGAGGCAAAGGATTGACATGGTTGAGCATAAGAAGAGAGAGCTGAAGAGCTTCCATGAAATAAAAAGCAGACCTTTGAAAGGGTTTTGACAAAGGGGAAGAGAGCTGGTGATTGAGCCGCGCCAATATCTCTTGCGCGAGAGAGAAGTTCCCAGATTGTATCAGCTCTGCCGCTTTGTAAAGCTGGTCGTATATAGCCATTAATGGTGATTGTTGAAGATGGTGTTGAGAGGGTTGTGTTTGAATTTGAGTCTGAGACAGCTGAGAAAGTTGTTGGTGTCGGTTTATGAATACTTGGGGATTGAAAATCTGAGGCTTTGACTCTGGGTTTTCAAGCTGGTAGATCAAATCACTAGAAAAGAGATTGTTGATTGAAGAACCCAAAATGGGGATTTGTGTGTTGTTGTTGTTGAACCCAAGATTTGAAGCTCTGGGATTACCTGTTTCAGAAGAAATTTTTGGCGTAGATGAAGATGAACCAGAACCACCATTAGAGCCACCGTCCACGGCGGTGGAGCCTTGATTGACGACGGCGGCGAGGGCGACATTGCCGTCGTCGAATTCGGTTGCAATCCACCGGAGAATAGACTGATCTTGACCCGATTCAGACAACAAACTCTCCCAATCTTCCAACCCAATCCCAAATCTTTCGCCGCCGGAAACCTCCAGTGCCGCCGGAATCGGCTGAAGCTCCGACGCCCATTCGCCGGCGGGCTCTGTCAAGCCAACCGGGCCACTCTCCGGCCATTTCAGGTGGTGGATTGTGTCGGAAACCGCCGCCAGACTTGCTGTGTTGTCGCCGGAACCGCCACAGACGGCGGTTGCGCCGCCGCCGAGAGAGGAAGAGAGGGTGGATGTGGAAGTAGAAGGGCTGGGACTCCTCCGGGTGTCAAGAACAGAGATGGGTTCATTGCTCGCGCAACTGATTCCCTTCTTCCACTTTGTTTCCGAAGAATCGAAACCTGGAACTTCCAACAAACCGTTATCTTGCAAATTAAATTGCATTCCTATCATCTAAACAAATAAACACCCAAGAAAACGAAGATCTGAAGGGTATGAAAGAGGGGGGGAAATGGATTTGGGTATTTCAGATTTGAAGGGTTTTTTTGAAGTGTTGTTTAATGGGTTTTGAAAGGTTTAAGCTTTAAACCAACCTCAAAGCCATGAATCTGAGAAGAGACCCATTTACCCAGAGAGCTTACTCTGTGTTCTTTCCAGCCTTTTCTCTTCCTTTTGAGTACCATATCACCATATGATGAGCTTCATATTCTTTGATTTTCTCCCTCCTCCTCCTCCTCCTCTCTCTCTCTCTCTCTCTCTCTCTCTCTTTTTGTTTTTCCCCTAAATATATGTCAGTCTCTTTCTCTCTCTAGACTTGCTGGTTCTCTCCCTACCCTGTTTGTATCGTAGCAGTAACCCAGCAGCAGCAGTAGTAGTACCCTTCTGTGTTCTGCCATGGATTGCTGAACCATACAAAATAATTAGGGTGTGTTTGGATGTTGAATTTGAATTGTGATTTGAAAAACAGTAATAATAGAGACTATTAAAAAATCACATCACTAATAGCTCTAATGAGTTAGAAAATATAAAATACAAAAGAAAAAAGAAAAACACAAGAGACAACCATCACATTAAAGGAGAGTCACCTCATTAGTGCTCTATTTTTAGTGCTCCCAAGCATTAATCTTTGAAAAACAGCAATGATAGAGACTACTAAAAAAATCTCATCACTAATACCTCTAATAAGTTGAAAAATGTAAAAAATAAAAGAAAAAAGAAAAACACAAGAGACAACCATCACATTAACGCTATGTTTGGTAACTTAGGAGAGAAAAGAAAAGAAATGATTACTTAAGTAATAAGAGAAAAGAAAAGAAATGATTGTAATTTGTAATTTCTCTCCTTTTTGTTTGGATAAGTAAGAAATAAAAGAAAAGAAATGATTATGATTTATCTCCTTCTTGTTTGGTTAGATTTCATTAAGAGAAAAGAAAATAAATTATTTTATGTTATATTACCAAAATAACCTTTTTATATTTTCAATCATTTTATTTCTTTTATTTTTATAGGGGTAAAATTGGTATTATGAAAATATAAACATTTGTGGATTTCTTTTCTCTCCCAATCTCTCCACTTTTGGAAAGATTGAAAATAAGGGTTATGAGAGAAATGAGTTTCTCTCCATTTCTCTCTATTTCTTCCCATTTCTCTCCACTTAAGACAACCAAACAAGGAAGAGAAATACATTTCTCTCTATTTTTTTTCTTTTCTCTCCAAATCACTCAATCCAAACACAGTGTAAAGGAGAGTCACCTCATTAGTGCTCCATTTTTAGTGCTTCCAAGCATTAATCTTTGAAAAATGGGTGTTGATGGAGAACTCTAAATTGAGCTCTACTTATGTGGCAATGAGAAAAAAAAGAAAAAATAAAAAAGAAAAAGGCCAAAATATTACATCAATGATGGCCCCACTCATGGGAGCTCCTTTAAATATTTTTGTTCAAATAACGCCCTATGTTTGGGATGTGAGTTTTGTGGGGTTTTTTTTTTTGGGGCTAAAATAGTCATAAAAAATAAAATAAGTTTTTTAGTTTAATAAGATAAATATCGCATCTAACCCATAATCATTACATTCTTTTTCTCATAAAAAAATCAAAAAAACCAAAAGTTCTACCCAAACCAGACTTTTTAGCCCAGATTAAAATAGCCAAAAAAAGTCAAAAAACCAACTCACTTTCCAAACGAAACCAAAAAGTTTTTTTTTTTTTAATTCTTGTTTAAATTTATGATCAAAATTTAATTTTAAACTTTCGTTTGCAACGTGAGTTAGCTTTTTAACCATTTAACCTAAGGCTTGTTTGGAATAAATGTTTGGTTTTTTTGACTTTTGTAAGAGAAAAAATAAAATAATTATGGTTTGAAAGTGATTTTTTATCTTATTAAGCTTTTTTTTTTTTTTTTTGTGATTATTTTAGCCCAAACATGGCATGCCAAACAAAGCCTAAGATAATTATGGATTTGTTTTGAAAGTGGGTTGTCTTTTTGATTATTTTAGCTTGGGGCTAGAAAGTTTCGTTTGGAAATGACTTTTGACTTTTTTAACTTTTTTGTGAGAAAAATAATATAATGATTATTGGATAGATGTGATGTTTTATCTTATTAGGCTAAAAAATCTATTTTGTTTGTTGTGGCTAAAATAGTAAAAAAAAAACCCCAAACTTGACTTCCCAAACGAAACCTATATCTACATTCTTAATATCTAGAGAAAATATAATAAATATAATAAATTTTATAAATTTAATATAGTTACATTAATTTTTTTACTCGACACCCGAAAGAAAAAAAAAGAACTGTCTCCAGTTCCATTCATATTTACTACACATTTTCTCCCTGCAACACATTAGAAACTTCTATTTTTGAGTCCTCTTGTACATTCAAATCAATTTCATTTTCACATTAACAAATATACAATTGTATCTTTACCTCTGCTATGTAGGAGTGTAAATAAATAATCAAAAATTAACTTTTAAAATTAAATAATAATCTAAAAAAATTATCTAGAATATTTAATAAAAATAATTTAGAATCAATTAAATTTTATTTATTTAAAAATAATTTAGAATCAATTAAATTTTATTTATTTTTATCCCAGTTACATATAAGAGAAAATATTTTTTTTATTCTTACGTTATTAACTGTTATTAATTGTGTGCTCTAAATTCTTAATAATAAATACATGCCACAACATATCTGTAAGGAATCTTCCTACAATCATGTCGAGGTTGAAACTAAGGCCCCACGTGTTTTGAACTTTAAGAGCATCTTCATCAGTTTACTTAAATTTTACCTTAAAATATTATTAAAAAATCCGTTCCCTATTTTAAGAATCATTTTTTCATATACTTTCCCCATCAAACTCCCTATTCTTTGCCTAAAATATTATTAAAATATTTTATTCCTATTCTTTCACTTTTTCATCTTCTTCTTTCACTTTCCCTTTTAAACTCCATATCCCATGAAACAGTTCGACCTCAATAGCTATGGTTACGAGGGTTGTTGGGCTCGGACCCTTTGAGCCACGTAGCATTGATGAAGCCTTTGTTGAGCCCCAAACTTTGCCTTTGTTATTCTGGAACAATGACCCAAATGAAGAAGATGATGATGATCATGTTGGACAATCTTCACTGTATTTTTATTTCACTGTATTTAAAATGATTAAATTCTGTTGTGTACAAAATAACAACAAGAATATAAAGAAATAAAGAAAAGGAGAGAATTTGTTTGATTACAAAAATCAAACTCGAAATAAAAATAAATAAATAAAACCACAGATTTTATTTTGTTACAAAAACAAAAAATAAAATCTGATTAAATAAACAAATAAAAACAGAATAAAATTAAACGACTTACTTGGTTAATTTATTTGAATAACTTTTCTGATCAAGTCCAGTGTTTAACACTGTGTCCTTAAGACAGATTCGTCCTCTCCACGGTGCTTTCAGAATTTGGACGTCTATCTCCCAGGATGAAATGATCTTACCACAAACAATAGCAGCACTACAAATTGTTTGCCTTACGAACACACTAAGTGTTTACACTCTTTCTTTCGGAAATAAAATGCAGCAAGATGAAGAATATAATTAGCAGAGGATGGAGTACGAAAATTGGAATGAAAATCCAAATGGGAGGCTAGTCTATTTATAGATGTAAATGTGGCTCTTGGTTTTGAATTGAATAGGTATGAAACCTGTTAGTTTAAAATTTAAACAGATTTGAATCTGTTTATTCAAACAGATAGAAACGGGAAGGGCTCTGTTTGGATGAGCAATAAATCCAAAACAGTTTAATTCTGTTTGAAAACAGGAAGGGCTCTGTTTGGATGAGCAATAAATCCAAAACAGTTTTAATTCTGTTTGAAAACGGGAAGAGCCCTGTTTGGATGAACAATAAATCCAAACCAGTTTAATTTGAATTCTGGATTTTATTTTAATAAAAAATTAAATTAAATTCAAATGTTTTTGGCCCAAAAAATTAGAAGCCCAACCACGCACCCGCGCCCGACCGGACGGACGGACGGCGGCGGTGCGCGCGTGTGTGGTGATTTTTGGGTCCAATGGGTCTAGCCCATAACCTCTCCCTCTAAAACACTTGGGTACCCCTTGGGGCACACCCCAAGTATCTCACCCTAAGCCTTATAAACCCTTTCAAAACTTCCCACCAAATCAATGTGGGACAAGCCAATTTACCACCTTAAGGAATTTCCACCAAAACTCCATTTCCATGGAGCACACTTTGGCTTCAATTTCCCATTCACTTGGTAATGGTTTTGAGCAACCAAATATACCACGTGAATCACAACGCGGCATAGAACGCGTTACCACTTTGACCCGAGTAAATCGATGCTCGGGGCCCAACTAAAAAATAGACCAAACTTGAGAAAAAAATTCTGGTTTTACCCAGAATTTTTTCACCATTTCCAACAATTTTTTAGGTGGATGGAATTTGATGACAACGGAAATGCAACAATATGCAGACTTTAACGAAAGAGTATAAGTCGAAAATATCTTGCATCAGGATAGGTAGTTTTCGGCATTGAACCTTCCCTAGCGATAACCTATCGGACTTACTGGCTAACCAATGGACGCGATGCCTTGAATTGTTCAGCCGTTTGTGTAAGCCAAGACAATAGATTTCACACAAAATATCTTCTAACACATCGTGGTTCTCACTGTTGTGTTCATTTTGGCCTTGAACGCTGCATGAATGAAAGATATGGGGCTCGCAGATGTTATATTAGGAATGAAAATTACTAAAACATCTGACGGATATGCATTATCTCAATCTCATTATATTGAGAAAATTCTTGATAAATTTATCAAGGATGATTTTGGTGTATTTTAACTGAGACACTGCATCACCTTTATTTTTTGATAAATAAAGACTGATGTCTACAGGTGTTCTAGCTAAATTCAAATCATCCTTGATAAATTTATCAAGAATTTTCTTAATATAATGAGATTGAGATAATGCATATCCGTCAGATGTTTTAGTAATTTTCATTTCTAATATAACATCTGCGACCCCCATATCTTTCATATCAAATCTTTTGTTAAGCATCTGCTTAGTTGATTTGATCATGTTTTGACTGCTTCCAATGATAAGCATGTCATCTACATAAAGACAAACTAGGACATATCCTTGGTCAGTGTTTTTAACATAGACGCATTGCATTTGTCACATTCGTTTATCTTAAACCCATTAGTAAGCATTGCATGATCAAATTTTTCATGCCATTGCTTAGGTGCTTGTTTCAATCCATAAAGGGATTTTACAAGTCGACAAACTTTCTTTTTCTTGTCCTGATACTACAAACCCTTCGTGTTGTTCCATATAGATCTCTTCATTAAGATCACCGTTTAAGAAAGCTGTCTTAACATCCATTTGATGTATTTCTAATTTAAACAACGCTGCTATAGAAA